GCCTGGGCAACTCCGTCTCAAAAAAACAAAAACAAAGGAAAAAGAGCCCTGGTGTGGTAGAGTGGAAGAAGATGGCATTTCTTGTCCAGCTCCATATTTGGCAGTTAATACAGCCTTAGGCATGTGAACAAAGTTTCTAAGTAATTTGATCCTGTTAGCATCCAGTGGCCCTTTTGATAATCCAAGATTCCTGGTTTTAGGAAATACACAGTATGATGAGTTTGAACCTCTTAGGATTGAATTATTGTTTCTTCATCAATATTCACATTTTTCTTAAATTTTTAAGATTACTCATATGAGTCTTTATGTTACGATTCTAATTCTGAAAAGCTGTCAAGGAATTGTAGAAATAGTAAGGACCTCGAATGAATTGCTTATGAAGAGCTGTCATAGTTCAGATTGTTTGATATTCAGGGTGGAAATATTAATAATAGTGAAAAAACATCAAGAGTGAGCCAAAATGCTAGTGGGATGGATGGGGATCAGAATTAGAAGGTAAAGAAGAAAACAAGTCATTTGATAATTTCATAGAGGAACTAACTTCACCGAGTGTTCAGTTAGCAGCTGAGCAGTTGATTTGTGAGCAGGCAACTCACGGTTTGAAGAAAGTGCTGGCACTGAGTCTAGGTTCTTAACAACTTCCTTATCCTGCAAAATTATCAGTTTATTATCCGTTATTAGGACTGAACATTTTCCCCCTAAATTTCTTTAAGAAGATTTTCCACATATTTTGAGTGAATATGGAGACAGTGAATGACTCTTTTTCAATGTTGATTTTGAAAGGCACAAACTAAAGTGTTGCTTCTGAACTTAGGTACAGTAGAATTTAAGGGACAAACATGACGTAGTTACTCTCCACTGGTAGACAGCTGTTTAATATCCGATAGAATGAATTGGTCCAGCTCCCTGGCCTACCTTAGTCAAGAAACTAAATGCAGTGGATTTAGTTTCTTGACCTTTGTATTTCAGCTTTCTAATTTCCAAATATTTCACCCTATTTTGAAACCATAGGTATATTAAGAATGATTCTTGGATTTTCTGTTACTGTCCTGCTATATTCCTTTGCTTTTCACTCTTTGACAGTTTCACATAAGCTAACAATTGCTTGTTAATTTTTTGTATTGTTGTAAGAGCTCCCTGCTCTTCCAAAGCGGTTGTTCCTAACCAAAGTGTAGTGTAAACATCACTGGAGTCAGGAGACCTGATTTCAAATCCTCTTTCTTTTTACTGTAACTGAGGGACCCTAAACACCTTTCCTTAGGCTATCTAAACATCGGTTTCCTTTTCTGTAAATGAAGGTAATACCCTCTTTCTTTTTGTTTTCTTGCTTTTTTGAGACAGAGTTTCCCTCTGTCACAGGGCCAGAGTGCAGTGGTGCTATCTTGGTTCACTGCAATCTCCACCTCCTGGGTTCCCCTGCCTCAGGCTCCCAAGTAGCTGGGACTACAGGTGCACACCATCATGCCCGGCTGTATTGTATTTTAGTAGAGACAGGGTTTCACCATGTTGGCCAGGATGGTCTTGATCTTCTGACCTTGTGATCTGCCTCAGCCTCTCAGCATGCTGGGATTACAGGCATGACCTACCATGCCCGACCCCCAATAGCCTATCTATTTTAAAGACCAAAAGAAAAATAGTAGGTTACTTGTTAAACTTTAAAACATAGTATAAAGACATGCTTTATTTTTGTGAACAGCATTTCCATTTATTTGTTTATTTATTTTTTATTTTTTGGAGATCTGTGTGCCTTTATTAGCGGAGCCACTATTTGAGGAGGATGAAGTGGGAGGATTGGGTGTCCCCGATGCCCGGCCGGCCGTGCTTCACGGGCTTGTAGGTGAAGAGGAACTCGCCCAGGTAGTGGCTAAGTATCTCCGGCTTGCTCTCCACCTGGTTGAAGGTCTTGCCTACCCTCTGGGGCAGGATGATCTTGTCCTACAGGTGCGTCTTCACCACTTCCGGCTTCTCCATGGGCGGCACTTCCTTCTTGTCATTGCGCAGGCGCTTGAGCAGCGATAGCTGCTTCCGTGGCAGGCCAGGGCTCAGCCGCCGCAGCTGGTGTGCACTGTACAGATGCATCAGCTGCTTGTAGGACATGTTCAACAGCTGGTCCAGGTCCACGCTGCGATAGGTGAACTTGCGGAAGGTCCGCTTCTTCTGCTCTACCTCTGCCATCTTCCCAGATCCTCAGAAAAGCTCCATTTCTTAATGCTTGGGCACTTTTGATAGTTTCTGAATTTCAAAACCAGCCTCCCTCAACTTCTGAGAAGGATGAAAACAAAACCTTTGGAGGCTGAAAAAGAGATTTAATCTGTAACTCACTTTTGTTATTTATTTGTACCGCTGTGATTCTTAGATCTTGTTTGTGAAGCTTTCATTCAATGGTGTCCCACTGAAGATTGAAGATCATTGCTTTAAAAAGGTATAGTGTTCCCAGGAGCAGAAAATCAAACACTGCATGTTCTCACTCATAGGCGGGTGTTGAACAATGGGAACACATGGACACAGGGAGGGGAGCACTACACACGGGGTCTGTTGGAGAGAAATAGGGGAGGGACAGTGCGGGGGGAGGGCATGGGCAGAAATGCCAGATATAGGTGAGGTGGAGGAGGCAGAAAATCACACTGCCATGTGTGTACCTATGCAACAATCTTGCATGTTCTTCACATGTACCCCAAAACCTAAAATGCAATAAAAATAAATAAATAAATAAAGGTATAGTGTTCCTTAGATTGTTCAAGCCACTTTAAACAAAGATAATCTGGAATTTCAGAAAGTTCCAGTATTAATATGCATTTAGCTGTTGAAAATGGATATAGTCCATGGTTCAATTAAAATAAACCTGACTAGTTTGAGCCCAGCTATGAGTGAGGGACTCCAGAGGGGTAAGGGGAGATAAGTATCCTATAGTGGAGACAAGCTGTGTCTTAGCACCCACATAACTTTTGGTAACAGTGTCTGGTAAAGAGAACTGCATCGTATTACTAGAGATCTTATTCTTTTTATAAGAACTAATATCAGGTACTTACAACTCGACTCACTGCAGCCTCCACCCCTAGGTTCAAGCAATTCTCCTGCTTCAGCCTCCCAAGTAGCTGGGATTGCAGGTGCCCACCACCACACCTAGATAATTTTTTTGTATTTTTAATAGAGGTGCATTTTTGTCATGTTGGTCAGGCTGGTCTCGAGCTCCTGACCTCAGGCAACCACCTATCTTGGCCTCCCAAAGTGCTAGGATTACAGGCCTGAGCCACCTTGCCTGGCCTTTTTTTCCTTTTGTAGTTTCTGGTACATATATAGTAGCCATAAAATAAATGTTGAAATGAATTTATGTTGTCTAACCTGTTTACCCAGCTTGTGGATTGGAATGAAGACAAAGTCCCAGAGAATGAAATTGCAGAGAATAATAACAAGTGATTAAAATATTTGTATGGAATTTGATATAGGAATGAGAAAGTATAGTAAGAGATAAATTTGAAAGGTTGTTTATGACATTTAAAGTCAGACTGGATTTCTGTGTGTAGGGCTTTAGATGCCAAAGTGAATGCAGGTGTTTAGATTTTACTGTGTACAGTGTATACCGCACATGATTCAAGGGCTTGAAAGACTTTTGAAGAATAACTAAAAGGTCTGAACAGTAGGAGTGAAAAGGAAGGCACAAATTCCAACTTCTGGGTTGTAAGGATTTCACAGTTGAAATGGCAAAGCTAAAGGGGAGAAAGTTGCTTACAACTGAGCTTTCAAGTTGAGAAGATTGTGGTACTTAACAGAAATAAGGAAATAGCTTCCTTTGTATGGGGTGTGCGTGTATTGGGACATATGTAAGTCATGTCTAGGTATTTAGTATGTGGTGACAAATGTAAAATTTGAACTTATGGCATAGGCTAGATGATACACATTAGATAGACCTGAAGCTGAAATTGACAGGTTAGAAGACAGAACCTTGAGAACTTACGTGTTTTGATGAGAAGGAAAGTTTGCCTTATAAAACTCTAGAAGAGTTAGGAGAAGGCAATCAACATTGATAATGCAGACAGTTGGAAGATTGAGAAATCACTGGATTGTTGAGAAGAATTTTGATGTTTCCAGAGAATTGCATTCAAGGGAGAGCTGAGTTACAATATTTGAGAGGGTAGTAGAGAGAAGGAAGATGAAGACCGGTGTACAATTAATAACTTGGGGCAGAATACGATCGATAAACTGCCATGATAAGGCCAAAAGTAGCTTAAGAGTTGGGTTTTTTTGTTGTTATTTGTTTTTTTTAGATGGAGTTACGCTTTTATTGCCCAGGCTAGAGCACAATGGTGCAGTCTCAGCTCACTGCAAACTCCGCCTCCCAATTTCAAGTGATTCTTCTGCCTCAGCCTCCCAAGTAGCTGAGATTACAGGTGTGCTACCCCGCCCGGCTGATTTTTTTTTTTTTTTTTTTTTTTTTAAAGTAGAGACAGGGTTTCACCATGTTGGCCAGGTTGGTCTTGAACTCCTAACCTCAGGTGATCCACCTGCCTCGGGCTCCCAAAGTGTTGGGATTAAAGGTGTGAGCCCCTGCTCCTTGCCTACTTTAAGAGTTAATAGAGTTGTATTCTGTTGAGGAATTCAGTGGGAGTAGAAAGATTTTCAAGGGGCCAGGATTTTTGATGGGCCCAGATAAATGCATAGGGTTTCAATCACTGCAGATAGGAAGAGGTGGGATGAGTATTGAAGGAGAATTCAAAAGTTCTGCTTCTTATTAACAGACTTTTAGGATCTCAGTGTTGGAATGGCCTACTGTTACCTTTTTGCGTATATGGACTCCTTTTTGTGCAAAATCATTCAGTTAGTCTCTGGAATACCTGCAGTGACTGGCTATTCGTTAGGTAGCTGTATTTGACATTTGGACAACTTGAATTAATGAGTTTTTGTTTTGTTTTGTTTTGTTTTGAGATGAAGTCTCGTTGTGTTGCCCAGGCTGGAGTGCAGTGGCCGCACACCACCATGCCTGGATAAGTTTTGTATTTTTAGTAGAGATGGGACTTCACTATGTTGGCCAGGCTGGTCTCTAACTCCTGACCTCGTGATTTGCCCACCTCAGCCTCCCAAAGTGCTGGGATTACAGGCGTGGGCCTCCACACCCATCCTTGAATTATATTGAACCCAAATCTACCTTCCTATAATTTACATTCACTAGATTCAGTTAGAATTTTCAGTTCGTTTTAGATATTACATCTACATTAACATAGCCTGAGATTGATTGTTTCGGAGGCAGCCCCATTATACTAGTGATTCACTGAACTTTAAATGGTAAACCAAAGAAATTAAATGTTTTTTACCTAAAAACTAAGAATAATAATAAGCTTTTGCTATTTATTTGTACCACTATGGTTCAAAAACTTTTCAGTCAAAGTTCAAGGAGAGTGATAACTTTGGTTTAAGTTACTTTGAAATTGAGGAAATATAAGTACATTGTAGGGTAATGAAGCTCAATGTGACTTTCTTGTCTAATCTGCATGTATGTCTACCAATGGCCAATGCTCCACTTCCCTCTCAATGTGTATTACAGATTAAGAAAATACGGGGACGAATGACACAGAGCAGTTAGAGCTGACATACAATGTGCTTCAGAAATTAGTCTAAGCAAATGCAGAGAAAACTTTTTTTTTTTTTTTTTTTTGAGGCAGCGTCTTGTTCTGCTGGAGTGCAAAGGTGTAATCTCAGCTCACTGCAACCTTCACCTCCTGGGTTCAAGCCATTCTCCTGCCTCAGTCTCCCGAGTAGCTAGGACGACAGGTGCGTGCCACCACACCAGCTAATTTTTTGTATTTTTAGTAGAGACAGGGTTTCACCATGTTGGCCAGGATGGTCTCGATCTCTTGACCTCATGGTCCACCTGCCTTGGCCTCCCAAAGTGCTGGGATTACAGGCGTAGCCACCTTGCTCAGCCCAGAGGAAACATTTTAGGAAACAGGAATGAATAAAAGATTCTAAACCAATTAGCTGGGCACGGTCTTGGGCGTCTGTAATCCCAGCTACTCGGGAGGCTGAGGTAGGAGAATCGTTTGATCTCGGAGGCGGAGATTGCAGTGAGCCAAGGTAGCGCCATTGCACTCCAACCTGGGCAACAGGGCAATACCGTATCTCTCAAAAAAAAAAAAAGAGATTATGATGAAGTTTCCCTTCGATTTTAGGTACAATAGGTAGAGTTGGAGAATGCCTCTAAAGTAGTTCAGGCTCTGTAAATAGTGAGGGAAGCTCTGGATAATCTTTTTTATTTTCTTTTTTGACACGGAGTCTCTTGCTCCGTCCAGGCCGAAGTGCAGTGGTGCAGTCTCAGCTCACTGCAACCTCCACCTCCCAGGTTCAAGCAATTCTGCCTCTGCCTCCTGAGTAGCCAGGACTGCAGGCTCGTCCCACCATGTCCGGCTAATTATTTGTAGCAGAGACTGGGTTTCACTTTGGTAGCCAGGATGATCTTGATCTCTTGACTTTGTGATCTGCTGGCCTCAGCCTTCCAAAGTGCTGGGATTACAGGCGTGAGCCACCGATAATGTTTTCAGTTTACAAGTAAAAGACGGATTTGTTCATGAGAGCCTTATCTGTCTGTGTAGAGCTAATGTATCAGAGAAAATTTTACATTGTGTGTTCCTGTGTGAGATTCTCCACATTTTCAATTATCAGTGGAAGAATTGGGGTTTGATATATTATATTTCACTTTCTCTAAAAAGATTGTTAGGTGAGGCTAACAACCACCTTATTGAAAATTGTGGTTATCTTTGAAGGTGCTGGAATCTAACAAACTTCTGAAGATTTCTTTTTGTGTATAAATATCTTTTAATCTTGGCTTTTTTTTTGAAACAGGTTCTCACTCCTATTACCCAGCTTTGAGTGCGGTGATGCCATGTTGGCTCACTGCAGGCTTGACTTCCGGGCTCAGGCAGTCCTCCCACTTCAGCCTCCTGAGTAGCTGGAGGTACATATGCACACCACCACTCCTGGCTAATTTTTTGTATTTTTAGCAGAGATGCGGTTTTGCCATGTTGCCCAGGCTGGCCTCGAACTCCTGAGCTCAAGAGATTTACCCATTTTGGCCTCCCAAAATGTTAGGATTACTGGCGTGAGCCACTGCACCTGGCCTTCTTGGCTATCTTTATAGAACTGTATAGTCATGTAGTCTTGACCAGGGGATTGCTTCTCAATTTGTAAGTTAGGAAATCAAGATCCAAAAAGGTCATGATTTTTCTTTGCCATAGATAGTTGGTTAAAACCTTTTACCTTGGCCTGGCGCGGTGGCTCAGGCCTAGCACTTTGGGAGGCCAAGGCAGGCGGATCATGAGGTCAGGAGTTCTGAGACCAGCCTGGCCAGCATGGCAAAACCTCATCTCCACTAAAAATACAAAAAATTAGCTGGGCATGGTGGCGCATGCCTGTAGCCCCAGCTACTCTGGAGACTGAGGCAAGAGACTCGCTTGAACCCGGGAGGCAGAGGTTACAGTGAGCCGAGATCACACCCTTGCACTTCAGCCTGGGTGACAGAGTGAGACTTCATCTCAAAGGAAAAAACAAACACCAAAAACTTTTACTCCCAATATTCAGAATTTTGTTTTGTTTTGGTAACTTTTTAAAAGAAATTGTTGGAAACAGATGCTCGATGCTGCAAAGAAAAAATCAGCATTGAGAGAAAGAATCAGCAACCAATTTTTACTTCCTGTAGGAAGGGTACGCTCGCTAGCCATCTTGCCACAAGAGTACAACAAACAAAGGAAAAGCAGACATGTTTATTCCTTACGCATTCGGGGTTGTCCTTATTGATGTGTCTGGTCTCCATTGGCTGGAGCCAGACCTCACACATTACACTAAAACCTGATTGGCTAACATCTTAAAACTTTTTTTTTTTTTTTTTTTTTTGAGACCGAGTCTTGCTGTGTTGCCCAGGCTGAAGAGCAATGGCATGATCTTGACTCACTGCAACCTCTGCCTCCCAGGTTAAAGCAATTCTTGTGCCTCAGTCTGCCAAGTAGCTGGGACTACAGGTGCCCGCCACCACGCCCAGCTAACGCTTGTATTTTTAGTAGAGACAGGGTTTCACCCATATTGGCTAGACTGGTCTTGAACTCCTGACCTTGTGATCTGCCCACCTCAGCCCCCCAAAGTGCTGGGATTACAAGTGTGAGCCACTGCAACTTTCCAGCTTAAAACTGTTCTAAACAAGTAAAAGCAATGGAGAGTTAGGACATACCTGTGAGCACATCCAGCACAAATATCTTGGTTAAAGTACAAGGACATAGAATGTATGTTATGTACCTGTTTAAGCATGTCTAACAACTACATAGGATAAGGCTTAACAAAGAGTTATTAGCACACTTAGGATGTGTTCTTTAACAGGAAAGGAAACTTTGAAGAGGAACTTTTACTTCCCACAGAAGTGGAAGGTCCCAAATCTAGAAATTGATTACCTGTAAGGTGCTTTGCTATGAATAATAATAAGGGCACAATTCATGTAATCACATTTATTCTGAATGTATAATTTGGCTTTTTTCCTTTTTCTCAAACTTCTTACGTACACTGGCTGTGCTTGAGTTATAAATGCGAACTTTATATTACTAACTCAATTTTCAGTCTTACCTCCTGCAACTACCCAAACAACATTGTTTGAGGTTGATCTCTAATAGTCATTTTCTGGTTGATTTCTATCAATTATATTTTGGCTCTCTAAATTCTGAGTCACTTCATATCAGAGGTATGGTTAAAGAAGTAACCAGTACAGTTTGTTGAGACACTGTTCTCTGAGTAAATCTTCATTTTGTTTTACCATTCCTGTGGGAGCCTCCTCTGCACCTTAATAAAAAAGCCCGACTTTCTTTATATATACCTATTTCTTTAGATTTTACCAGATTAGCATTTCCTTACTTATTTACTATTGAAGTTAATTTTTCAAGTTACTGCCTTCAAATAATCTAATAAGTATTAATTTATTGAGTATTGATAAATCTTACTGCCCTTCCCAGTCTCTCTGTTCTAAATTGATGATATCTTGGTTATGATACTTCAGTGACCATGTAGAAAGTGGGCAATTTGAAGCTTTTTCTCAACCTTGTTATAACGAATATTTAGAGTATTTTGATCTGTGATACTGATACATGTATTGTGTACCATTTTATTTTGTTTTGAGAAATATATGACAAAAATGATAGGTCAGTATCTACTTTGTGAATATGATGGGAAATTTGGAATAAATGACAGCAGCGTTCCTGTAGAAAATCTGGAACTCCAGAGAGAAGAAAACAGTAATCCTCAAACCCAGAAATTCCTAATACTAGTATTTTTGTCACTATCAATTTGAAGAAAACTATTTTGTGCATAATTATTTTATTCAGAGAGTAATATAGTACTTCCCCATGTGTTAGTATTATTTTACCATCAATTTTTACAATGTTAAAATATATATAAATTCCATATTTTAGTTATCTTGTTAAATGTTACTAGGTAAGTGTGCTGTTCTTTACCCACCGTCATTATTTAAAATGAAAATGTAAAGTTGCTTAGCTGTGTGTGTGTGTGTGTGTGTGTTTGAGTTTGATATAGGGTCTCATCCTGTCACCCAGGCTGGGGTGCAGTATCCGGATGTAAGCTCATGGTACCCTAGACCTCCTGGGCTCAAGCAGTCCTCCCACCTCAGCCTCCCAACTAGCTGGGACTACAAGTGCGCAACAACACACCTGGCTGATTTTAGCCGGGGGTTTGCCTCGTTGTCCAGGCTGGTTTCTAACTCCTAACCTAAAGTGATCCGCCAACTTCAGACTCCCAAAGTGCTAGGATTACAGGCATGAGCCAGACCTAGTGCTTTATTACTTTAAATGTAGCATGTGTGAGTCCTTTTTGCATTAGGATAGTTACCCTTATTGGGAGTTTTAAGTTTTGTGGGAAACCAGTGACATCTGAAATGTCAATACAGCTAGTGCTCGATTGGTTCCGACAGACCGGTCGTAACACGATTTGGTCGTAAGTTGAGTAGGCTACATGCACGCGGAGATGGTAGTCCTGCCGGAAGCTGGTCCGCACTGTCGTATGCCCAGCTGGGCAACATTTGCGCTGCCAGACGTGGAGCAGTTGTGGCTGGCGATAGTGGTCATAAAGTCGAATGGTCGCAAGTTGCATAGGTCGTAAGTCAATCAATACCTGTATTTGGATCTGCTTTGTGAATTAACGATTTTTGGAGGCAAGTGAGGCATTATAGAAAATTTTAAACATATTTGTAAATCAAGGTTTTGTTTTTTTTTTAAGACGGAGTTTCGCTCTTGTCACCCAGTTTCAGCTCACCACAACTCTGCCTCCCAGGTTCAAGCGATTCTCCTGCCTCAGCCTCCCGAGTAGCTGGGATTACAGGCATGTACTATGACACCCGGCTAATTTTGTATTTTTAGTAGAGATGAGGTTTCTCCATGTCAGGATGGTCTTGAACTCCCAACCTCAGGTGATCCACTGCCTCAGTCTCCCAGAGTGCTGGGACTACAGGTGTGAGCCACTGTGCCCAGCCTTTTTTTTTTTTTTTTTTAGTACTTTTAAGTGTAATAGGAAAGGATGCTTGATTATAGTTGGTCTTTTAAAAACAGGTTATATTTCATATTTTTTTCTCCTTCTAACCTCCAGTTCCTAATGTCATAATTTTGGCTGTTCTGGGGACTATATTCTTACGGTAAATGATAAAAAGTTTTGTTTGGGCAGGTGCAGTACCTCACACCTATAATCCCAGCATTTTGGGAGGCTGAAGTGGGAGAATCGCTTGAGGGCAGGAGTTCGAAACCAGTCAGGGCAACATAGCAAGACCTCATCTCTGCTAAAAATAAAAATTTTAAAAATATTAAAAAATTAGTCAGGTGTGGTGATGCATGCTTATAGGCCCAGTTACTCAGGAGATTGACAGGGGAGGATCACTTGAGCCCGAGTCTGGCAGTTGAGGCGGCAGTGAGCAATGATTGCACCAGTGCACTCAAGCCTAGTGACAGAGCGAGACCCTGTCTCACAAAAGAAAAGAAATTGTGTTTATTTTGTGCTAGTTGCTCTTGGTGGTTTTAACTTTGAGGCACGATATCATAGCACCTAACCCATTTGATTAAGTTTCTAGGTTGCTTGTTTATATTTCTTGACAGACTATAAACTCCTTGAGGGCTAGAGACTTATCTTGTTCACCAGAGTATTTCATTTACTATAAACAGTATCTCATGTAGTTAGATGCTTAATTGGTTGAAAGAGAGATTAGAGAGACATAATATCAAAGGTAAAAAATGATTATTTCTTTACTGAAGTTACAGCTGGTGATTAATCATTGTTACTATTTTGAAAATGATGAAATTAATTCCCAGAAGGAGAGAGAATACAAAAACACAAGTCATGGTGCTTTGCCATGAGTGTTATCTCTGGAGTCTTAACTTGTCCCCTCTGCCTTGCTTCCTAGGATAAAACCACTGGAATCCAGGAATGTAGTAGATTTTGGTCCCCAGAGGAAAAAGGCCATGTGAATGGAAGGACTTGTACGTAGTCTGAGGCAGCATTGAATTCTGGTGGGGATAAGAAACGAACCAAGATGCTAGTTCCCTCTACTGAGGAGTAGGCAAATAAAGAGACAAAGGGAGATATAAACGTTAGCGGTTACCTTATGGATAGTAGTTAGGAATGTATTGTTTTGCTGTTGTAAATTACTTTTTAATAATGGCATTAATTTTGTTCCCATTTGTATGGCTAAGAAAATTTATTTCAGGCTAGTCTGATGGTAGTGGCTTATTAGAACTTATTAACATTAGTGTCACTAACATTGGTATACAACTCCCCACTGCTAAATTTGATTGGCTAAAAAGAAAATTTATTTCATGGTGGTTGATGACAAAGATGACTTTTTAATAGTTATTCTTGTGTTTGCTCCCTCAGCATTTGACATTGTGCAGCAAAGAAATGGTTATGGAGAAGCCCAGTCCGCTGCTTGTAGGGCGGGAGTTTGTGAGGCAATATTATACTTTGCTGAATAAAGCTCCAGAATATTTACACAGGTAAACTTTAAACAAATAATTTGGTATTTTTATTTATTTTTTTCTTGCATATGACTACATATATTTTGCATTTCTTGTCTCCTCATTACCCGACAGTATCTTTGTAAACTGGATTCAATATTTTATTCATTTGATGGCAAAAAGCATTTTTTGACTGCAACTCACAGTAACAAAAACACATTACATCATATTCTAGTACATAACACGTTCATACCTATATATGCACACACTTATTCTTATATGTACACTAGAATTTTATTTTTAGAGTCAGAGTCTTGCTCTGTCGCTCAGTCTGGAGTGCAGTGGTATGATCATAGCTCACTGTGGCCTCAAACTCTTGTCCTCAAGCGATTCTTTCAGCTTGCAGCTTGCCTTCCCAAAGCACTGGGATTATAGGCATGAGCCACCAAGCCCAACCTTTATTATTTCATTAAGAAAAAATTCTTGGGAGTAAGGTACCGGAGAACTGTATAAGGTTTACATGAGGCTAGATGCAGTGGCTCACGCCTGTAATCCCAACACTTTGGGAGGCCAAGGCAGGTGGATCTCTTGAGGTTAGGAGTTAAAGACCAGCCTGTCAAACATGGTGAAGCCTCATCTCTACTAAAAGTACAAAAATTAGCCCAGCGTGGTGGCAGCCCTCTGTAGTCCCAGCTACTCAGGAGGCTTGATGCAGGAGAATTGCTTGAACCTGGGAAGTGGAGGCTGCAATGAATAGAGATCACACCACTGCACTCCAGCCTGGATGACAGAGTGAGACTCTGTCTCCAAAAAAAAACTTACGTTTGACCAATTAATGGGTTCCAATATGTGAGGGAGTTTGGGGGAAGATACAGAATTAATACAGCCTTTTGATACCTGAAATTTGGTCTTTTCGTGATACAGGGGTTTTTGTTTACTTTAGTGACCAAAAAAAAAAAAAAAAAACAACCACAAAGTTTAAAACAATAGTGTTCTACACCATCATGTTTAAACAATAACAGACTTCTATTTTAGACCGAACTTATTTAACCAATGTCTTTCTTAATGAAAATTCAGGTTGTTGTAATTTTTCACTTGTGATAAGCAACACTGTAATGAATATCCTGAAACATGTATTATTTGTGCACCTTGCTAGTTTTTTTCTTACTTTCCTTAAAATTCATGCATCAAAGGTATGAGTGTTCTCAAGGCTTTTCATGTGTATATACACAGATACACACACACACACACACACACACACACACACACACACACACACACACACACACACACACACACACACACAGCCAAATTGTTCTGTATAAAAGTTTGCCAGTAGTACATGAGAGAAAATAGTTTAAATTTGAAAATAAGAGTAGTGGTTAAAAGCATGGACTCTCGAGTTAGACTGACTGCGTTTTTGTCTTGGCTGCCCCACTTGGTAGGTATATATTACCTTAGGGGCAGTTCATTTAACCTCTTCTGAACCTGAGCTAGTCCATTTAGATAATAGCACTTCATGAGATTGTTAAGAAAGTTAAGTGAATCAGTATACATAATACACTAAAAACATTGCTTGGCATAAAGGAGGCTCTTACATGTTTTACTATTATAGGAGTTGCATTTTCTTTGTGAAAAAATTAACTTCACACCTTTGAGCTTGATTCAGAAAGATGTTAATTCTAATTGCTTTAGATAATGCCAGAGAAAGACTAATTCACATATACTTAGGAACAGTACAAAAATATTAAAAATAAATTAGATGCTGGAGTAATTTTTGATTTTAGACTTGGTCTCTGAATTATTTCAGTTATTTTAAATCTAAACATTTGAAGCCTTTAGAGTTAGTACTCATTTGGAGATCTGAATATAGTATTAAACTCTGATTCCCAAACAAATCCAAATAGCTGAGTCTTTGTATCTGAAGGAAAAAAACAGGGTCAATTACTATAGCATCTGTATTTAGAATGTACTAAATAGTCAAAACTATCCTATTTTCCACTTAACAAAAAATAGATGTGATAAGAATTAGATGTGAATATCTAATGATTGTCTACTTACTGTGCCAGATAAACTAAGCATTCTCTGTGCATTATTCATTTAATCCTTACAACAACCCTATGGAGTAATTACTTTTCCTATTTTATTACCAAGGAAACTGAACTTAAAGACCATAAGCAACTTACCTGTCCAAGATTACAGAACTAACTAGTGACAGAGTTAGATCCGGAACCTAGTTTATGACACCAGAATTCTGCTGCCTCTTAGGCTTCTCTTGACATTTCAGTGTTAATCTTTAATTATGGTTTTGCAGATTTTATGGCAGGAATTCTTCCTATGTTCATGGTGGAGTAGATGCTAGTGGAAAGCCCCAAGAAGCTGTTTATGGCCAAAATGTGAGTATCAATTTCATGTACAGTTAAGAAATTTTGTGTTAAGATGGAGATTTTTAAAAATAGCCTTCTTATGTCCATGGATTTTTTTTCAGTATGATTGTTAGTTATAACTGAAATTTGTGTTTGACAGTAATTGTCAAGCATGCTTTGAGTTCTTAAACATGATTTTTGTATGAAACATGGTGTTATATTGAGATAGCTACAAAGGAGAAAATGGTATGTTTTATATCATTGATGTATTCTATACATGAGATAGTGGAGAGAGTCTATTAAGTTTATACAAATCTGAACTAAACCCTTTGCTATAGGAATGCACAGAAATATATATTTCCTGTGGCCTAACAGGGAAGGAAGACTTTGTGTAGAGGATGTGAGACTATAAGATTTGGTCTTACCAAACAAGAAGAAATTGTAAGTAGACAAAAAATAGCATCAGCAAATACACATTAAAATTATGTGTAAATTCAAGGAGCAGTCAACACAATTTGTGAGAATGACTACTTACTACAGAAAAGTGGAAGAAAGCT